TAAGCCTGGAGGACTTCAACGCCCAGAATTCCCCAGCCAGCTTTACTACAAGCCTGGAGGACTTCAATGCCCAGAATTCCCCAGCCAGCTTTACTTCAAGCCTGGAGGACTTAAACTCCCAGAATTCCTCTGCCAGCTTTACTTCAAGCCTGGAGGACTTCAACTCCCAGAATTCCTCAGCCAGTTTTATTTCAAGCCTGGAGGACTTCAACTCCCAGAATTCCTCAGCCAGCTTTACTTTAAGCCTGACAGACTTCAACTCCCAGAATTCCCCAGCCAGCTTTACTTCAAGCCTGGAGGACTTCAACTCCCAGAATTCTGGGAGTTGAAGTCCACCAGGCTTAAAGTTGCCAAGGTTGGAGACCTCTGGTTTAAAAGTCAGTGGTTGATCTAAGAACGCTGGAAATGGTGGTCTCAAGATCGCAAAGGATCACTTCAGCTCCTCTATTCTGTGCCGAATCCATTCCCCTGCCAGTGATGATGATCACAGAGAGGTCAGGAAAGTCAAACCAGTGACCATCCCCCACCCAGGTAACTCAAGCTTTCCTTCGCCGAGTAGTACAGCGCCAGGCCTTTCGTGCAACTGCTTGTTCAGAAAATCCGGCTAAACTGTGCGACTGAGAAACGAAAGCATCCACGCTTAAAGGCTCCACTCCTTCCCACAACCCAAATCCTAGCCTTTCAGCAAATCACCAAGGGTCAGCCCCATTTCAAACCAAATCATTTTCAAAGATGGGTGCCTGTTCCTTTAAAAAGAAAAACTCCAATAGTCTCGTTCCCACATAATCTCAAGGTTTAAGGAAGTGCAACTGTCAAGACGGAGTATCTTTTGCTGGAGTAACAATCCTTCCACCAAAGGCAGGCAGAGAAAGAGCTGAGCTCAGCATCCTCCGCTGATTCCAAAGCCCATGGTGCACCTTAGCTGAGTCCTCACGCAATCCCTCTAAATCCCAGCCATGCTGAATAGTAATAGCAGTAGCACTTACTTATGTACAATGCTTCAGAGCCCTCTCTAAGTGGTTTACAGAGTCAGCCTCTTGCCCCCAACAATCTGGGTCCTCATTTGACCCACCTCAGAAGGATGGAAGGCTGTGTCAACCTTGGGCCTGGTGGGATTCGAACTGCCTAATTGCAGGCAACCGGCAGGCAGCAGAAAGTAGCCTGCAGTACTGCACTTTAACCACTGTGCCACTGTGACCATAGGACACCCAGATCAAGACTTCTGGAAGACCTCAAGCCTGAATATCTATGGTATTCAGTGGATTTTTTCCCCCTGTAGTACACCCAGAACTGGAAACTTGAAAGGAATTTGGAGAGATGAGGGACTGGGAAGTAAGAAATACCTTGGGGCAGATACAGATTAACAGAATTGGAAGGGACCTTGTAGGTCATCTATTCTAGCCCAACCCCCTGCTGAAGCGGGAGACCCTACACCAGGGGTGTCCAACCTTGACAACTTTAAGACTTGTGGACTTCAACTTCCAGAATTCCTCAGCCAGCAAAGCTGGCTGAGGAATTCTGGGAGTTGAAGTCCACAAGTCTTAAAGTTGCCAAGGTTGGACACCCCTGCCCTACACCATTTCTGACCGATGGCAGTCCAGTCTCTTCTTCAAAGCTTCCAGGGATGAAGCTCCCACAACTTCTGAAGGCAACTTCTGTTCCATCAATTGATGGTTCTCACTGTCAGAAAATTCCTCCTTATTTCTGTGTTGAACCTCTCCTATATTAGTTTCCATCCATTATTCCTTCTCTGCCTTGGAAAATAGCTTGACCCCCTCCTCACCTACAGAGCTCTTGGTGGCCTCGCCCACACAGGACAAAGCCGCTTCCAAATCTCTGGAAGACTCAAGAGGAGAAAATTTGCCCATTTCGCTCTTTTTCACGGAGGGAAAGGGAGTGAACCGCGATTTTACAGATTACAGATTAACAAGAGTTGGAAGGGACCTAGTAGGTCATCTAGTCCAACCCCCTGCCCGAGCAGGAGACCCTACACCATTGCTGACCGGTGGCAGTCCAGTCTCTTCTTGAAAGCCTCCAGGGATGAAGCTCCCACCACTTCCGAAGGCAAGCTGTTCCACTGAATATAGAATAGCAGAGTTGGAAGGGACCTTGTAGGTCATCTACTCCAACCCCCTGCCCGAGCAGGAGACCCTACACCATTTCTGACAGATGGCAATCCAATCTCTTCTTGAAAGCCTCCAGGGATGAAGCTCCCACAACTTCCGAAAGCAACTTCTGTCCCATGGGTTGATCTCTCGGGTTGCTGCGTGGACCGCAACCCGGGTTGCTTCACCCTTCCCCGCCTCCCTGTCCGTGTTTATCTGGCAGCGAACAAAGGCACCAGGTGGCCTCAAAAGGTACGCCGGGGCCGGGGCAGTTCCTCCTCCTCCTCCTCCTCGTGGTTTTTCTTCCTCTCCGATTCCCTCCCGGCCCTTCCTCCCTGGCAGAGCAGCTGGGCGCCCTCCGGGCTGGGGTGGGAGAAAGCACTCAAGTTTCCCCAAAGAACCGGATCCCCTTCCCGCTCCGGGGTCCTGCTCACTTAGTCGATCCTTCCCGAGCTGCTGAAGACCAACTGCACGCTTCCTCACCCGCCGTTCCCCTTTCCGCCCCTTATGGAAAGAAATTCGGGTGGATTCTCACGACGCATGCGAAATACAAGGCTGGCAACGGGTTACAGTCGCGGTCGACGTCGCCCCAGTGGACAGAAGTCTCCCGAGTCCGGCGAACCTTGACTCGGGAGTTTACTAAGGCGCTGAAATTCCCGCCAGCGGAAACCGCAGTTAACCCCAGAGAAGCGAGTCGTGGGAATGCAATACTTGCCGCGGCTGCCCTGGAGATCCTCTTTTCTTCCCCTGCCCGTCTAAATGTTTTTCCCTTCGTTCGGAGGGAATCTTCCTTGGTGCATGACCCCCCCCCCCACGTCCCCTCTTTCCTGCAGGGGATGATGGGCAGTGTAGTCCAGCACACCAGCAGAGAAACCGCCTCCCCCGCCCGCAACCCTTTCTCGGATTTCCTCTGCACAGCCGCCGCCCTTCTTCCTTCCCCGGCTCTCCTCACCTTCGAACCGGCTTCTCCAAGAGCCGCTCCGGTGGCCGGTCCCTTCGGGCCACCGCAGCCGCGAAAAGCGAAGGCGAAGCTTTGCTGGGCGAGGCTGAAACCGGGGGGGGGGGGGGGTCCACCCCCCCCCCCCCCCCCCGTTGTCAGAGACCGGCATTGCCGGCGACCCCTAGGGGAGAAAATCCGCCGGCGCACCTCTGCCGCCTGGCACCCTTCCTGGAAAGGTGGGCAGCCGGGAAGTGGGGAGCGCGCCCCTTCCCAAAAAGAAAGACGAGGCCCATCGCGGCCAATATGCGTTTAAGGATCGGGCCCTCCTGGCTGAATGCCCTGCCGAGACCCTAGAACAACAACAGAGTTGGAAGGGACCTTGGAGATCTTCTAGTCCAACCCCCTGCTTAGGCAGCGAATGCGAGATCATTTCAAGCAAATGGTTGTCTAATAGCATAGCATAGGAATAGAATAGAATAGAATAGAATAGAATAGAATAGAATAGAATAGAATAGAATAGAATAGAATAGAATAGAATAGAATATGGAATAGAGTAGAGTGGAGTGGAGTGGAGTGGAATGGAATAGAATAGAATAGAGTAGAGTAGAGTAGAGTAGAGTAGAGTAGAGTAGAGTAGAGTAGAATAGAATATGGAATAGAGTAGAGTGGAGTGGAATGGAATGGAATAGAATAGAATAGAATAGAATAGAATAGAATAGAATAGAATATGGAGTAGAGTGGAATGGAATGGAATGGAATAGAATAGAATAGAATAGAATGGAATGGAGTGGAGTGGAGTGGAATGGAATGGAATGGAATAGAATAGAATAGAATAGAATAGAATAGAATAGAATAGAATATGGAGTAGAGTGGAATGGAATAGAATAGAATAGAATGGAATGGAATGGAATGGAGTGGAGTGGAATGGAATGGAATGGAATAGAATAGAATAGAATAGAATAGAATAGAATAGAATAGAATAGAATAGA